GACCCTCCCCGGCCGGGGTCGGCCCCGTGCAGAAACGGCAAATAAAGCGGTGTCTGCTTTCTTATTTCATTCCTGTGCTCAAGCAGTCGTTGAAGTGATGCAGACGGCAGTGACCTGTGCTGGCAGAGTCTAGTAGCCAGAGCCAGCGACTTACAGCAACACCGAGGCTGCGCTTGGCCGGCTGGGTTCTGTCGTTTGCTGACTTCTGGACGCGTCTTCTGTTCAAATAGCAAGCATGCGTAGCTTTATGTACATACATACATATATACATGCATACCTAGAGGAGGAAAAAGATCGCTTCCCTTCCACGTGACCAGCTGAAGCCTTAGAGGATGAGATTCGATTGTAGTCATCGTGTGAGTGTAGGCAAGCAAGTGGTGACAGCTAGTTGTAATGTTGAACACTTAACTATGTCATACTTCCCCATAAGGCTGTTGTTCGTTAAATGCTTGTCTCTGAGTGCTACAAACAGATTTGTGTTTATAAATATGTGCGTGTATATATAAAACTGCACTATAAACAATTCATAACTAACCATATAGTTGTATTTTGTTATACGTACATGTAGATACAAATTGATTACAGTGCAGTTTAAAATAAGCTTATTTAAGTGGCGTTTTAGCAATGTTTAAGCTTTGTCTGCTGTCAGTGTAATTATACAGAATGGGGGGTAAGGCAGAGGGAGCATTCAGACCTTTTACGAAACTAGTCTGCAAATCAGAAAGTTACGGGATGAGTACTAGGCAGGGGAGATAATTTTAGTTAACCTGCTAGGTGTACTGGAAAAGTTAAGAAGTCAAGATGGTGGTGGTAGTTCATTTTCCTTTTGAGTAGTGATGTGGGAAGGAAGTTTTGACAAAGGGCATAACACAGGGTTTTTGGAGAGACAGAAAGAAATGCCAGAACTGGCAAACCTCTGATGGGAGAAGTAAAAACAACAGATGTATGAAATTCTGAAGTGCAGGGTTGAATGAGAAAACAGTGGAGTCAGCAAGAAACAAGAGTAGGGAAGGGTTGGCTGGATTTTTGTGATCTCGTAAAAGAGAAAAGGGTCTCTGGATTCGTATAGTGAGTAGAAATCATAAATGTGCATCAGTAGCCTGCATCCAAGCATGTAAGACTTGGGGGGGGGGCAGCTGTTGAAGGATGACCTGAAAAAGTCCAGAGAAGAGCTAGTCTGAAAAAGGATGGTTTGATCGGGAGCTGTGTTCAGTGCTTTGAGAGTCAAGTCCTTCTATTTATCTGGGGAAGAGTTTATAAAGAACTTTTGTCTTCCCTGTTTGATCTTCCCCACATGCTGGAGGAGTTCTCAGCTGTCGTCTTAGTAACACTATCCTTTACCACTCAGCATTGTTATCTCCATCCTATCTTAGCATCTGCCCTGCCATGCTATATATAATTGCGTTAAAATCCATGAAAGATGTGCAGTGGGTTTTTGTGTGTAGCAGTGGTTTGCGCTCATCCTTATTGTTAAAGCAGCAGCTTCTTTGCTTTGAAGAAGCTGGGGCTGGAGAACTGCTGGCTGCTTTGCCTGTCGTCAGAGCTACCCAGCACTGGGCTTCTGTTTTGCCTCTGTTGAAATTAACTGTATCCTCCTGTTCAGTTAGTGTCCTTCCCTGAACTGGTCCCAGTTCCCACTGTGAGAGAAGAAATGTGTAGGTATACAGGCTGTGGCTTTAGCTGATGTGTTCCATAATTTATTTCACTGTGTAGTGACCTATTGGAAGGTGACAGCTCCTTGAAAGGTGTGGCCTGGGACACTGTGTGCCAGGGTCACTTTGACATAATAACAGTTATAAAAACAATCCTGAGAAGTCATGTGAGACGTGGGGGGGAAAATTAATCACTTGGTATGTGAGTCACTAGCTAATTAGACCAAGACTTATTTCTCCAAGTGAAGACTGTCTCTTTAAAGTGACCCAAAGTACTAATGCCAGCTAGCAAAACCTAAATGTTTCCATTTTCACTGGAGAAGCTCCAAGATCAGGCAGAGGGCAGATTTAGGCAGGTGATACCAGGAACAGGTGCTATTGCAGGGATTCCTTCAGGGAAAAAAGGAACAGGAAACAACCCTGTCGGGCATCTCTCCGAGCTGCACGTGCATCTCCGAGATACAGTGGTTAAGGGATGGACACAAGACAGGGGGAGTCTCGGTATCTTTCATTAGTGGCTTCTTCCTTGCATTAGAGCTATTTCCCTCGTTTCTTAACCTTAAAGGCAGAAGCGTGGATTGATACCAGTTTTTTGCTTAATTTTGCAGCAGTTGTGGAATACAGGCTTGGCACCTCTCATAGAAGAGAGCTGCAGATGTGTTTTCTCACAAGGATTTATTTTAGGACAGGCCTTCTAAACTTTTTTTTAAAATTGGCTGTTTCTGCCTCAGTCTGGGGCTGTACCTCTTTCTTAACAAGTTATGTCTGGGATGCTAGGAATACCTTTACCACTTTTTTTATAAAGCACCCAGGAAAACATTAACGGGCAGAGGGGAGCTCAGGTTGCTTGATATTTTATTTGTGATTAATTTCATATTATCTGGGACACTACAGAAAGTGGGAAGAATTTGCTCGATACGGGAACTAACATATATGCTGAGGATCGCGGTGCTTTAGATGCTTGACCAAGCAGAGTTAACTTGAAGTTTGTCTTACTGATCCCAGCTTGGGGCAAGCTCTACACGAACCAGATCTGAGTTAGCAGGGGGCCAGTGCTGCACCAAGATTAAGGCTTGTACTGTTCACGATGACTGCAAAGTCTGCACAGTGCTCCCTGCTTTCCCTTCCCCAGCCAGACCTGGGGCAGGGGCTCCAGAGGGCCCTGCCGGAAGCCGGTTTTGCAGGACTGCCGGTCCAGGATCATTGGTCCCTGCAGCTGACCAGCAAACAGGATAGCTGCATGGTGCTGTGGTGGAGCTCCTGAGCTCTGCCAGACCCGGGCGGGCTGCCTGCATCCTCAGCACAGCTAATCATAACCCTGTTGAACCGTCCATCGATCATTGAGTTGACCGTGCATTAATATCCAAGAAGCCAAATCCGTTGGCAAGTTTGGATAATTAAACTGCCAAGGGGTCGATTCCAGGCCTGTTTTGTTGATATGAAGTGTTCACTGAATGTATTTTTGCATGCTGCAGCACTCAGTCCTGTAGATGGTGTGACAAGTTTAAGTATCTCTTTGGTCCTTGATCTATGTTGTCTTACTGCACACAGCTCCACAAATTATTTCGGTATTTAAGATCAGTTATATCCCCGTCCTGCTTGCTCTGGTGAAGCTGAAGTCAGGGCTTATACATGAACTTCCCTTCAGACACTGAAGATGTGAATGAAATCCATTTTTACCTCTTACCTTAGCTGCTGGATAAAGGTGCTTTGAGCTGTTGCGTAGCTGTTGTTCCAAACCAGTCAACTGCATTTTAGTCATGGTTACTGTGGTATTTTTCTATAGCTTTTAAAGAGTTCTAAGGTTCTCCAGATCTGCAGGTTTGATGCTAGGGAAGTGTATAATAACAATAGGGAAAGTTAACTGGAGTATCTTGAAACGTCTTTTGGGGAGTGTTACGCTGAGCTAGGAGTGCAGTCAATGATTACTTGGATATGAAGTGAAACATCACCAGAAGTTGGAATTCCTGGCTCACTGAAGGCAGTAGAGATTTTGCCATTGAGGGAGATTCTGACCTTCTGGAGTTCAAAGGCTCCATAGCCTTAAAACAAAGAAAAGAAACCCCAGGTGCTGCATTCCTGACGGTAGGAGTAAACATCATGGGATGTTTCTTCATCATATTGGTCCTGTCTCTGATCCACGTTTCATAGGAAAATCAAAGTCCTTCTAGGGTGAGTCTGTCTTTTTGCAATACTGATAGTTCCTCTTCTCTCTAACAGGGGAACTGTACTCTGGCAAGATGCTCTCTGTCTGGTGAGTCTTACGCTTTTATTTCATTTCGAAGTACCTAGACAGAACAGAGCTGATGATGGAAATTGGTAATAGGTTTGATTGGGGTTTATTTCTGTTAATCATGTAATGAATAAACAGTTGGTGAAATGAGCTGTATTTCCATGTGAGTACCTCCCTTGCCTAATGTACATGTTGCCTGATCCATTCGGCTCTGGTGAAGATTTCACAGCAGCAGCCCAGTGTATTTCAAGTGTTGCAGTGCTTGAAACACATGCTGTTGCAGAGCCTAGCTCTCTAATAAACTCCTTTGAAAATGATGGGTGAATGTTAAGTGACATGTCAAATCTAGTATGCCTATGAACTCCTCTTCAGTGCTTAAACTGGATTTTCCCAGAGCTCTGTTTTTTCTAGCTGTACTGTGTTTATATAGCATTACATTACTCACTTCTGATTTCACTTTGAGAAAACAGTTAAATCTGCTTACCTTTTCTGGTTTCTAGAGTTCTAGTATCAGCTCTTTAGTAGGGGATGTTGTCAAAATTGTATCGCATTTTTTAAAAATCAAGTGGGGAAATGGTTCTTCCTTCTGGCATTGTGCAATTGAGATAATTATGTTCTCCAGTTGCTATGCTGACTCTCTTTAAGATCAGTCTGGAAAATTGCCCAGTGCCCTGAAAGACACAAAGGACAGGAGTTCAGTTTGTAATAAAAATTGCAGTGTCAGGGCATGTGAGCAGCATGGGAAGGGGACGGTGGGGTCTGTGAAACTGAGAAGCTATGCAAGTACCTCCCCACTGTGAGTTTTGGAAATGAAGTGTTCTTGGGACAGGGGGTGGACAGAGAAGAGGCATGATGATGGCTTGCTACTCTGCCCTGTACCCTGTTTTCATTCTTTTTTATCTCCTTACCTGTCCATGCAACTGTGAGGCTTCCTGGAGGTGCCTCTTAGGGGACTGATGCCTTGCTCCTATTAGGAACCTCTTGGTATTGGTGAGGGTAACTCAGCAGCAACTGAGGTTTTAGCAGTCCTGATGGTGTCCCTCATAGCTGTTTCCTGGTTTTGTTTTGACTGGGGTAGCTGCTGCTTTGTTTGCCCTTTTCAAAGTTATCCTTATTAGCTTGGAGGTCAAGATACAACTTTTTCTCATCTCTGTAAATCTAGATGAAGACTAGACCACTGTTTTTGGCAAGTTCTGGGCAGGTTTGATGGCACTGAGGTGCCTCTCCATGGCTGTATTCCCCACTTAGTCCCGAGCTTCTTTCAGGGTGGACAGTGGTGTCCTCTGCACTCTTTTACTTGACAGGGACACTTGAGGGCTGGACGGTTGGATAACGTTCCTGTGGGGTAACACCATTCTCATTCACAGGTGTGGCTGGGAGCCAGGGACTGGCTTACACCAACAGCAGGAAGCTTGTGTAAGTATCCCCAGGAAAGCTGTGATGTGGAGAGGCTGGGGCTGCTCTAGCCCTGATAAGATTTGCGGGCTGGGAGGCAGAATATGGTTGGCTGTCATAAAAATCCCTCTGCGCATTGTAGGAGTGTGGAACTAGCCCTAACAAAATCTAGGTTTTGCAGGTCAGGAACTGTGGCATACTTAAAGAAAATAAGCTTTGTTTGGAACTAAATACCAAGGCAGGGAAGGGACAGAAATGAGGAGACTGGTGATAAATGGATCTCTACCCTTTGATTATCTGACTAGAAGTCTTGTTTGCTCTATGGTGGCCTCCTGGTCGGATTTCTGTCAGGAGAAGTGGGGTTGTTCAGGGAGCTGTTGTTCATATGGCAAGGTTTGCATTGCTGAGGTGGTCTTGTAAAAATGTATTTGGGGAAATAACCTTAAGAGTGCGTCCAGAAAAGCGTGAAATGCTGGTCTGTTTGCACCGAGTAGCCTGTGTCAGAGGAAATGCTAAAGCACATTTGCTTCAGGTTTCCACATGTGGTTTCAGTAGGTATAAAAAGAACATCTTTTGGAATGCTTGGGATTGCCAGCTCCCTGTGAAGGGCCATGGTGGAGAGAAGTAGCTGTCTCTTGGATGTGTTGCCATAGGCAATTTATGGTGCTTTCTCTTTTTTTGGAGCAATCTGGCAACCTCTAGAGAGAGGACAATCCTGATTTGGAGGTAGAAAATGTCTACTGTGCTAGTCTTGAGCATAGGGTAGGCTAGCTAGGTCAGTCTTTTATCAGTATTTAAACCACAGGGGTTCTGTTGGATTGTGTCCCTAAATTAAAACTCCATAAATGTCAGTTCCGCTCAGTTTCGGAGAGCACTAGTGATGGTAAGCTGTAATGTTTCCTTTCTTAGTGGGATTGTTGCAGCTTGAGCAGTAAGTAGGAGTCCCTTGGAACAAGTGCATCAGAACAGCTGAGCAGCCTTTCGAATCAGTTAAGCAAATGTAAATTCTGTACTTGAGCTTGGTGCTGGCAGCCTCCACAGGAACATGCTTCAGTGTTCATATTTTTCTCTCTTTCTGCAGAGTAAATAGCTCCAGTGTCTTCACTGTCCGTTACTTCAGAACCACTGCAGTACATAGTAAGTAAAAAGTCAGGAGTCAGTGGGATGGCTCTTGTGCTACCTGTTGCTGTCCTGACAACAGCTGAAGCTACCTCTTCCATCCTTGGTCTAGGGCCACTGCTGTCCACCTCAATGGATGTCTGAGGGTTTGTGTCCCAAGCCTTAAAGATTTTGTCTGGCATTTCTGTCACAATGTGACTTTCAGTCAGATGGGAATTTCAGTGTTGTTTAAATGTTAATCAGTGTTGAAGCAAGAAGGCTGACATTTGATGTCTGTTGACCCTACCCCCTCTAGCAGAGTCCTGATGACAAGAATGAAGCAATGCCATAAGTTTTGAGCTGTGAATGAGTTCAAGTCTGTCTGTCTTTCTCACAGGGGATGACGTGGTTACGGTGAACACACCAGCCTTTGCAGAGTCAGTCACAGAAGGAGATGTCAGGTGGGAGAAAGGTAAGCTATTGCCTCTTCCCTGAAATTCTCAGTGCTGTTGCTGCTCCACTGGACAGCTCTGGGATGGATTGTAGTTCACTGGCTGGCAGCCTGCTCTGTGCCTTTCAGTCTGTGACAAATGAGACAGTTAATTGCAGTTCTCCTAAGGGATAAGGATTGCAGTTACTGCCTTGGCATCTCTCTGTCATGAGTGATGTTGGGTGAAGGGTGATGTCTAAACTGGAATCAGACTCTGACTGTGCAGTAGATTGATTGTTTGAGCTAAACTTCTCTTTAGAAATTGTGGAGAACTGGGGTGAGAAAATTCTGGGTGAGTGGGGGAGACTGCTGTGGGTTAAGAGGGGAGGCTGGAGCACATCTCCCTCCTCACAGTCGTCTTCATATCTATCATTCAGCTGTTGGAGACACGGTGGCGGAAGATGAAGTGGTGTGTGAGATTGAAACAGACAAGGTAGGAGTTTTCTGGACCAAAACTTTTTCTAGTTCTGTAGTGGGTAGCCTGTATGGCTCCTCTCCCACTCAACAGTTCTAAAG